ATATAGGCAAAAGTTTAGTGTTACTGGGTCCTCAAAACGCAAAAAAACGCAAATGTCGAGATTTGGCGTTCTATGATGCCGATATTTTCAAACTTTTTTAACTCGATTTACGCTAATCCCACGTATGCGTCATTCATTTGAAAAGGGTTCCAGCTTATGCGAATAAAGTCGATGTAAACGTGGTACGGACTTCATGGAAACACCCAAGGCATAAAAAACTAAGTCTCTAATCGAATCCAAAAACTAACCAACCGCCTAATAGTTTGTAACACGGGATAGAAGAGAAACAAAGGAAGAACTGTTGTTTTCATAAACATCTAATGGACAATACTGTAATTTTTGTGGATAAATTAATTTAAAAATGTCACTGTGCTGTATCTCATATGTAAATAAATGTTCATTGAAAGAGATTGTTTCCAAATTTTCAACGACTAAAATCCAGTTACCGTCTAGACGAACAATATGATGAATATGACAAAATACTGGAATGTCCTCCTCGTGTTTCACGTCGCCCACAATGACAGAATATTATTTATAACAAACATGATTGTGAGTAAACTACTTGCAATCAAAAATAGTTGATTCCGGAGAATACTGAAGACGAAATTGTTGATTTAATAGTCGTTTGATGTTAATATCGTAATTAATGAGTTTTTTTAGTTTTGAGCCCGACGTTTCGGTAAATGATTCCAAAAAGTAAGATCGGAAGAGGTGTAGACAATGGCGATATTGGTTTCTCGTAGATAATATTTTTGTGATATTCTTGAAATTGCAAGTGCGGAGAGCAATCTTTTTAAAGTATAAATGACGGCCTTCGAATCTCATGCACCAAAAACGTATGGGAGGACCAAAATCTTGGATGATCTGCTGATATTCTGTACAAAAATGAACTTTGGGAGGCATTTTATCAAGAAGAAGTTCTTTTAACGATGTTTGAAATTGTTTGCTCAATCTATTTAAATACGGAAGCCAACTTTTTCGCTCAGGCAAGCCAGGACAATTTCAAGCATTTCACGGAGGAGCAAGTATAATTTAAATGTCTCAAGTTGGCGGGCCACGTCATGGAAAATCAACGGAAATAAACGGAAGAATAAGATGTACTGCCAAGAATTAGACAGTTAAACATATCCAAACCTTCAGCGAAATCTTGCATAGAATCGCCCGGTAGGCTACGTATCGGATAGAAATTATCTAGTTCATAAAGATCACTTGGACCTTTAACTTCAAATGCTGACAAATCATCATTATTATTGGTCGTTTCTTGGATATATTGTTGATGTTCCATTTTATTTCGCTTCGGAAATTCAATGTCAGGTAACGATATAGTACGTTAGTCGTAATGGACAAGACACCGACGACAAAAATAGCCCGGGAATAGGAAAATGAAAGTTGCTGATGAGTAGCCAAGTTGTCAGATGAAACACATGTAAACGTAAACATCAATGAGAGAGTGTACCTAGTACACAAGAGTTAAATGTACCTATTTTCAAGCCATGCTGCTATAAATCATTCAGATCCTTGATAATAGGTAAAATCGTTGACAATAGTCTTTGTTGTCGAGATGTTCGGTGTTAATCATGGCCAATAAATTTACACATTGAAGCATAGATCGGAATATCAGAAATGTCTTCTAATAAATAATAATAAAATGTAACTTTATGCATATCTTTCCTAGGCCCAATCGGATTAATCAGATCAACTCCATCAGTGTAAAGTTGTAATAAAAATGAGTTTTTATTAATATTTCTTCCATTCTCACCATCTCGATACGAAAACATCAAATCACCGTCTTTTTGTGTCTGCTGCTGCTGTTGTTGAATGTTATCGATTAGTAAAGGTATCATCTCTTCTTTACACAAAACTCGACGTAAACATTGATGAATAGAGGCATAATAAGCAAAATCTTGGTTGCTTCTGTCAATAGCCATTAGGGCCGCTGATGTGAGGGGCTGAGAGCAATATTTCAGTTGGTGATTCATAACTGAAAAACTTTTCACATAATTTATTAAAATGACATTCACTTTTCATGGTATTTTGTATACATTGAACTACGACATTAATAACAGCTGGTGCTGCATTGTAGCGGATAGTAGGAACATTGTGTGGTTGTCTTGGGATGGCTGTTGACGCTCAAGAATCGTTTTTATTAGACTTTTGTGATATTAAATAAGCCACTATGTTTAGTAGATGAACTGCATTGGAAGTGATACAGTTAATAACATGAAGCGGCAACAAATGCTCTTCGCACAATTCGATGAGGAAAGACGCATACTGCTTTTGCAAATCACTCATGGTATATGTTTGTGGAATTTCAAATTCTGGTTGAGGAGGTGGAAGCAAGTCGTCATCCTGTTTATCAAAAAGAACTCGTCGCTTCTCATCATCTTCGTCATTGTCATCCGATACAGGATCATTTTCTACACGTAATACATTTAGATCCGGATAATCAGTATTTAAAAATCGAGATCATTCTCGAATGTGTTTTTGTGGAATCTGTTCAGTTGGAGAAGGTCGCTATGTTTTCTATATACATGTGTTTTAAAACAAGTGAATGTCTCGTATGTTTTTCCGCACTCATTGGATAAATCACAGTTCATAGAAAAATTCGGTTCGGAATAATGATAAAAATATATGAAGGAAAAGTTCCCGAAACGTGGAACAGTATCTGTTATTCGTAGAAAAATAACAAAAAAAATTGTTTTCAACCATTTCCAATAAAATATATTAAGCTATTAAGAAAAAAAATAGAATAGAAAAAAAGTATCACGTCGCTAACAAAGGAAAAGATATCCTTACATTCGAACCACGTTTGTAGTTGGTCAAGAGACGATTCGTGAGGAAAGCGAGTATTCTGCGAAACAGGTATAACATGCAAAAATTTGACATATGATTTTTATTTGGTTTTCAGATTCTACAGTCGAAACTGGGGTGACGAAAAAAATTGTTCAGTTCCAGGCTTTATTTTAACCTAGTTACAGAGTTTTCAAAATGAGGTACATCGAAGAATCGTAAAAATGAGCACTGTCTCATATTTTCGATATAATTCCGTCATTTTTTATCCCTTCTTGTCGAGCAATATCTCATTCGAAAGACCATCAAAAACTAAACAAAATTAGGTGTCTTCTCTTATCCTAAACTCAATAATAATGTTGTAAGACGTTCATCAAGTGAAGGGTTATGATTTTCACATACAAATTTTCTATCAAAACCCACTTTTGGGCATCTAAACAGAATTTCACTAGAAATACGAAGGTAACATCAGATAAGAAATACAATTTTCTACAAAAAATTTGTTTTAAAACCAGAGAGAGAGAGAGAGATAAGGATAGAACAGAAAGAAGCAAAGCACAAAAGAACACTACACAGTTGATAGAATCGAACACTTGAACTTTGAATTCAAATGCAAAGAATTTACTTTTGGACTAAATTG